CACCTGCCGCCCCGCGGGTCCGCCTCCGGCCGGCCGGGCGCACCCTCACTGTCACCCACGCGCGCTTTGCGCTCGCGCTGCGCTGCCGGCAAGTGCGCCACAGCCTTAGGGTGTGAGCCGGACCCCGCTTCCTAGGGTCTGGGAAGGGTTCCCTGCGCCAGATTCTTAAATAAGCCCCTCGGGCTGGGAAGGACCCTGAGGTCAGGGCGCGTCAATGACCATCTAAGCGTCTGTCCCCAACTGCCGAGCTGGGGTTGGAGAGGAGCGCCAGGAAAGAGCCACGGACCCTCGCCCACCCTGGTCCAGCCAAGAGATGGACGCCAGCGACCTTTAATGAGAAGGGAGCCCAGCTTTAAACTTTTGCCCCCACAGGGAGGGGGTGTCAGGAGGACGGGCTGTCGGGCTCCTTGGGGAAGTGGTCTAAGTCAAGGACAGGGAACGACTAGGCCGCCCGAAGTTACCGCTCGCGGGGGCGTGAGACCCGCCTAACCGCAACCGCAAGGCGCTTCCGGGCGCTGACACCAGCTCAGCAGCCCAGCAGTCTGGAGCCCGTAGGGCGGGGGTGGAGGGGTGCCTTCCCGGCACCTGGGCAGCAGCGAGAGCGAGAACAACGAGGTTACCTTGGAAGTATCCAACATCCAAAAAGAAAGGACCGCAGGCGGCCCAGAGCCCATGGCAACCCCTCCTCCGGAGCTGTATTAGGCATCATCTGGTAGAACACAGAATTCCAAACTTCCAAGGAAATATCCTAATAAAATCTTTACTTCCCTTACTAATTTTAACGACATTGTTGGGGATCAGAGAAGTTACTCACCTTTGTAAAGTGATTTCTCCTAATAGTATACCTTTTCCCCAGGAAAAATTTAAATATGTACAAAGTGTTATACATGAGATGATTACCATGGATTTTTCTAGATAAGAGCCAGAGCAGGTTGCTTTGCGCCAGGCCCAATATTAGAAAGCTTGTTTTATGGGTCAGGTGGGAGTGTTTCACATTCTGCTGCCCCCAAACCAAAGAAAACAGAGATCAGTTATGTTCTACCTGCAAAGGTTCTTTGTATTTTGGTTAATACTTACTTCAACTCACAGTGTGATCTATTGCCAATGTGCACGTATTTACATATACACTTTTTAAATTATTAAAGCACCTGTGATTAATGGTTGGTTCCCTAGGACTTCCTCTACAGATTGCTCTCAGAAATAAACTGCTATTTAATTTTTAAGAATGTATTACAGCATGAAATATAGTAAGTCTGACTGAGTCAGTCTTAAGAAACTCTCTCAGCTAAGCAAATCCATTCGTTGGCCCGTCTTTGACACCTGAGATGTACTATTAAAAATGTATTCTTTGTGTCTAAGAATGTTGGTGTTCAAAGTAAGGATATCCTCCTTCCCTTGGGAACAGTCATGACTTAAAAAGGGGACTGGGTGTGTAGGTGCAGGTGCCGGCGATGACTGGGTTCTGATCAGGTGCTAACTACATGGGGGAGGTTCATTTTGTGAAAAGTCATGGTGTTACACTTAGGCTTTGTGCACTTCTTTGTATGTATTTTGTACATAAGTACTGTGTTCAAAGTAAGGATATCCTCCTTCCCTTGGGAACAGTCATGACTTAAAAAGGGGACTGGGTGTGTAGGTGCAGGTGCCGGCGATGACTGGGTTCTGATCAGGTGCTAACTACATGGGGGAGGTTCATTTTGTGAAAAGTCATGGTGTTACACTTAGGCTTTGTGCACTTCTTTGTATGTATTTTGTACATAAATACTTTTGTTTAAGTTTGCTATAGGGCACGTGTGCTCACTGGAGAGAAACAGAGAGCGAAGGATAGTGAGAAATCAATCTCCCTGGAGGGAGATTGACACACCACAGCCCCTTCATCATTCTCAGGATTCTGGGCACACACATGCACGGCCCAGTTGTGTTTTACTTTTTTCTTGTAATTGTTTTATTTTATTTTATTAATTTGCTATAGGGCACATATACTCACCAGAGAGAGCGAGAGAGAAAGTGAGAAAGCAAGCCACCAGGCCCAGGACTTAAACCATAGTCAGCCATGTGGGAGTCCAATGCCTTCACCACCACACTGCCTGCTGGCCCCCCAAGTCGTATTTTTCAAGCTGCTAGGTCTGGCATTCAGACCATGCAGTTGGCCATGTGGGATCCAGCTGCCTTAACCTACAGACCACCTGCTGGCCCATACATAATTTTAAATATTTCTAAGTATTTAAATATTTTTTGTCTTTTTCCTATTAAGGAGTTGATAGCAGAAATCATCAAAATCCATGAGTAATTTTATACAATAGCTTTACGTATTTTCTAAGGTCACTACACCTTTTCCAAAGCTACAGATTAAGGGCCATTACACTGATATTGCCCACATCTGCAGTTGGGAGCTTTTGTTTGTTTTTCTGATTATCATAACCATGAAGGCATGTCCTATAACACTGCCACATCCTTTAAGGCTACACCAACCGCAAGCATTTGGGCTTTGGGTTTTTGTAACTCAAGCTTGATTCCTTGCCTGCCCAAATGCTTGCATAAATAAGTCCTTAGTTACACCTGATCAGGCCGTATGCAGCTAAGCCCGATAGGATGCTTCAGAACCATTGATTTCAGGTTGACTTTTATAAAAAAAAGTAAAGTGGGGACTTGGGAAAACAGTCTGGCAGTTCTTCAAACGATAAACATGGTGTCATCATTTGACCCAGCAATTCCACTCCTAGGTATATATCAAAAGAGAACATATATCCACACAAAAATTGTACACAAATAGCAGCATCATTTGCAATAACCAAAAGGTGGAAGCAACCCAAGTGTCAATCAACAGGATGAATGGATAAACAAAATGTAGAACATCCTTCCAGTTGGATATTCTAATGGAATATTTCTGATGGTTAAAATCAAAGAAGGAAATGAAATACTAATATATACTACGACAAGAATGAACCTTACAAATATTATCCTAAGCTAAGTAGCTAGTCACGAAAGACCATATATTACGTGATTTTGTTTATACGAAATGTCTAGAATAGATGAATTCATAGATAGCTTAGTAGTTAGGGCTTGGGGGTGGAGGAGGAGCTTTGAGGAATGGGGACAGCTAAAGGGTATGAGGTTTCTTCTTAGGGTGATAAAATGTGTTTTAAAATTATGATTAACACACTCTGTGTTTATATTTAAAACCATTGAGGGGACCAGCAATTAGCGTAATGGCTATGTCGCTGGACTCCCATGTAGTCGACCACGGTTCACATCCCGGACCTGGTGGCTTAAAACTCATGCCGGGCGTGTGTGCGTGCGTGCCCAAAATCCCGAGAGGAGAATGGAGAAGAAGGGATTGAGGCGTGGCCATCACCCCTGGGGGGTGATTTCTCACTTTCTGTCTCTCTCTGTCTTTCTGGTGAGCGCACGCACCCTATAGCAAAAACCTCTAAAAAAAAAAATTGAAATGAACTAAGTAATAGCCAAAATAAATACAGCTTTCACAGGTAAAATATAATAACTAACCCTTGTTTCCTTTGGTTTGGGGGCAGCAGAATGTTAAATACTCCCACCTTACCCATAAACCATGGCTTTAAATGTGTGCACTGTATGTATGATATGTGAATTATATCTCAATAAAACTATTATCAAAAATATAAATAAAGCCAGAAAGAGCCTACGGAAAACTGGACACAGATACATCATTAATGTAGGCAAGAGTCTGAGGAAACAATAGGTGTAGTGCCCTATTCAGTGGTTCTCAGCTGCCAGTCTTCCTCTGGAACAAAGCTAAATTCCAAGGTGGTTCAATACACCTCCCACCAACACTTCCCCTTCCTGCGCCTCATTTTCCACTCCCTGTACTCAAAGCCTTCTCCACTGAGGAGTTCAGGCTCTCTGCTCAGGTTTATCTGGACACCACGAACAAATTGCTCAGCTCCTTCCACGCTTAGAAGACCCACCCTGTCAGCTCATGAAAGGAGGTTGTTCCCTATAGATAGGAAATTGGTGAAGAAACTTTTTTTTTTTTTGGGAGAGATTTTTGCTGTAGGGCGCGTGCACTCGCCAGACAGAGATATAGAGACAGAAAGCAAGAAATCACCTCCCAGGGAGGATGGTCACGCCACAATCCCTTCTCCTTCATTCTCCTCTTGGGATCTTGGGCACGCACGCACACGCGCCCGGCTTGAGTTTTAAGCCACCAGGTCCGGGACACAAACCGCGGTCGACTATGTGGGAGTCCAGTGACATAGCCATTACGCTAACTGCTGGTTCCCGAAGAAACTCTTTTTAAAAAATTACTTATCTACTTATTTGTTGTGATTTGCACGCCACCAGGCCCAGAACTTGAACCACAGTCAGCCATGTCAGAGTCTAGTGTCTCAACCACCACCCCACCTGCTGATCCCTGAAAACATATTCCCCATGCCAGCTGACGGCTCAGCAGGGATACAGTGCACTGGGAAGAGGGGTCCACATGGGAAGGCACCAGGTTCATGTGCAGAGGCCTCCCTGTACCTGCCAGGTGCTCACACACATGCCCATGATTTAGGCTACCTGAAGCCAGGACTGGAAAGCAACACTGGGACTGCCTGTCTCTCTCACCCCCCACCACTTCTTTCCTCTTTCTCTCTCTGAAGAAATAAACTTTTTTAAAAAATTGTTTTCAATTTAAAAGGAAAAAAGCGTG